CGTCACTGAATACGCTACAAGCTTTACGGAGAAGATGAAGCTTATTCCATACCTAATTCCAACTGAACATTCCAAGGTCAACAAGTTTGCCAATGGATTACCAGCGGACTTTGGTCCGATAGTCAAGCAAGCAACCACTCTGAAAGCCGCCATCTGGGCAGCCAAAAATGTTGAGACCCAAATAAAAGAAAAGGGTCTGGAGAGAGCTGAAGTTGGAGAGAAAAGGAAACATGAAGGATCTTCAATGATCAACAAAGAAACCAAACTCTCGAAATCGGGAGGAAGAGATGAAACCAAGTGGTGTGAAAAGTGCAAGAAGAATCACTTCAGAAGATGCGATGGAGAAGTGACCTCCTATAAGTGTGGTAGGACCGGTCACTATTCCAGAGATTGTACGTTCGACAATAGGAAGTGTTACGAATGTGGAGATGGTGGTCATATTTCGAAGAACTGCCCAAAGAAGGACGAAGCTGCAAAGAAAAACGCACCGCCAAAGCCAAGGGCATTCCACATGCTCCTCGACGAAGCAGAAACGGATGGGAGGATTAAAAGATGAAGACTTCATATCAATATATAAAGTCTGTATCAGGAAGTGTAGCCTATTAGAGGCATAGTATAGGGTGAACTTGAACCTTTGTGTAATCGTTTCAAGAAATAATATAAACCCTGGTTTTGTTATCTGATGTGTTGAATGATTATACGATTTATGTATGGTGACTTGGTTGACTGTGAGACAATACTTGGGACGAGTATGAGTAGGTGTGAATGGTAGTAGAGATCTATACTACCGGAAGCACGGGACTCGCACTTGGATCAGGGAAAGTCGCATGGTTACCAAGAAGCTAGTAATTGATTCCGTTTTATTCAAGTATGCCGTTACCCTTGTTTTGGTAATGGCTAGTAGGATGATGGTTATTCCGACCCTAGTGGTCATATTAAATTGAGTCCGACTGCGATGAGTTGGTTACATGGTCCAGAGGACCAAGTTCGATGTAACATCTGACTTAAGTCAGAAGATTGGAATCATTTTACAAGCCCTATTTCTTTGATGATTTCGGGACGTAATCATCCTAAGGGGGTGATACTTGTAACGCCCGTAGATCAGGGCTAGTCAATTTAGAGACGATAAGCATCAAAAATGACTTTTTGATGGAAGATTATTTAGAAGGAGTAATCTTAACTAAGTTGTAGTATATGTTACAAGGATTCCGTACATATAAAGAACGCCGAAATCCGAGTTATAACGAAGAAGTTATGACCTGTCGAAGTTTCGCGACAGAACCGGCACGACACAACGCGACGTAAATAGTGAATTTACGTTAGAGCGATATTTGGCCTTAGCGATCTAAATGAAAGTCGTAGAATACGTTAAACCGAGAGCGTGCATAAAAAGAACGTCTAAATCTGACTTTGGATGAGGAAGTTATGATTTTTCGAAGTTTCAGCATTAGCAGTATGCAGCCCGAAACTCGAGATTGAGGTCGAGTGATATTTAGCCAAAACTTTCTAAATGAGAATTGAAGATCTCATCATTAGTAGTCCAACGATAAAAAGACAGACGAAAACGGAGTTCAGATGAAGGAGTTATGAATTTCGAACGGAGTTTTCCTGTCCCGGCCCACTAAAAATAATATATTAATAATATATTAAACTTAAAGTCAAAATTAGCCAACGGAGTCTAAACGAGAGTTGTAGAGCATAATCTCACCTACGCGTGGATATAAAGAACGTCGAAAACGGAGTTCGTATGCGAAAGTTATGAATTTCTGAAGTTCGGGGTGCGAAACCCCAAAACTGTCAGAGTTCACGACGTGAATACGGTGTTCACGACGTGAACTCAGTATTTATGACTTCTGGAGCCTGAAAGACGCAAGTGGCGTTGACGCACCTGATGACTATTGGATTCACGACGTGAGAACTTAAAATTCACGACGTGAGAGCTGAAAAATGACCCTATAAATAGAAATCGAGGGTCAGCCGATTTTGGTTGCTCTATCTTTTCTCTCCCACTCCCGATACCCTCTCTAAGCCCTATTTTAACCCCCCGAAGCCCCGGTATCATCCCGAGACCCAAAGCAAGTCCCGAAGCCGAAGATCCCGAGAAGAAAAGAGTTTCCGAGCCGAAGCTCTGCCTGCGAGAAGCCCGGTGTGTGAAGATCTTCTAGTTTCACCGAAGAAATACTACTCTTAGAGCCGTAGTGCTGCCCGATCATCTTCTGATCAAGTGAGTGTGTAGTTACTTTCTTCTAACACATAGATATGAAGTATTTGCTATGAAATACGTGCTATGTATTTATACATTGTTTGTTTACTTGAGATGGATGCTGAATGAATGTTTTTATACGAGTTTTTAAATAGTTTTAAACTGTATATGTAATGTATATCTACAAATATGTTGGGTAGAACATGGGTAGATGAAATAGTTGGTGTGTGATGAAATAAGGTGATGATAGATAGGTGATGAAATACGAGTCCAGGCGATGTTGTGGCTGCGTATTCAGGCGATGATAGTCTAACCCTTATTATGAATTACGAGTCCAGGCGATGTTGTGGCTGCGTATTCATGCGATGATAGTCTAACCCTTATTATGATTTACGAGTCCAGGCGATGTTGTGGCTGCGTAATCATGCGATGATACCCTAACCCTTACTAGACACATATTGAGGGAGTGATCCCCGAATTAGTATTGTCTATGCGATGTAGGCGATGATCCTTAGGAAAAGTTCTTAGGAACAAACATATAAGGAAATAAGATGTAAGGAGATGAGAGGTAAACATGATATAGGAGATGACCCTTAGGATAATATCTTTAGGGAAGATTAAACGAAGATAATGGGGATGGGTAATTGGGTTGATTGTTTGATGATTGAAAATAATAATTATATTATTGTGGGTTGAAAACCCTATATGCTCACCAGGCTCCCAAGCCTGACCCACTTAGTTTTCTTTGCATTACAGGTTATGGCACGAGAGCATAAGTTGGCTGACATAACGAGAGATTTTGGATTATAGGCCAATAGTTATGAATAACTGTTGTAAGGTCTATTTTATACTGTTTATGCTTTTGGTCTGTATCGGAACATGACATCTCAAGATTTTATTATTTAATGAAAATATATTCTCTTTGAGAAATGTTTTGATAAATGGTTATCATATTTTGTTTTTGGGACAAATTCCGCAACTGTTTTCTTTAAAAGATTACTCTTATTTTAAAAACAAAGCATAAACAAACCGGTCTTTTCTGGCCGTGAAAATGGGGATGTCACACTACTTCCAGCCACTTTTTGGAAGTGTTCTTGAGCTATTACTCCACTTTTTGGTAAGTTTTCCATCTAAACTCAAGTATTATTCCATATTTTCATAACACTCTTGAATCATCAACCCACATTTTAACACCAAAAATCGTTCTTAGGATCACCCAAGCTTTCGCGTGTTCATCAAGTGTTCTTGACTTGATACTCCTCGTCTTCGACCTTCCATTCTTCAAGAAATCACTCAAGGTGAGTTCATACCCCTACATTTTCAAGTTTTCTTTAGTTTTCAGGGGGGGGGAATACAAGTTAAAACACCAAAACATATTTAAAACTTAACTTAACAGCTTACAACAGAAAAGTTGTGACCTGTTCACGAACTGTTTTACCCAACTTAAACTTAATATTTTTCAAAACTGTTTAATATGAAAATAGTTCAGGTTGTTTATACCTTTAAAATGACTACTTGCACATCTCCATATGATTTTTCTACAATTTATGGTGATTTTTACAAAACTGCCTATCACTTCAGCATCAAAGTCGGACCAGGTTGTGAAGATGAACATTTTCGCACTGGTTTGAGACCACCAAAAATTATAAAAACATTTATGAACATAGTAGACTCTTTTTCCAAACACTCAGAGTTTACGGATTCAGTTTTCGACTTACGATGATTTTTCTATAATTATTCTAAAACAGTGACAGTTGAGGGTAAAACTGTCAAACACAAAATTTATTAGTTATTTACACCTTGTAACATGTTGAGCAAGGTGTGTAAGGTTTACATTTAGTAGTTTCAATGTCATTTTATTGAAATACAAAGACATGCATAACAAGGTTTCATTCAAACACACAACACTTTTGATAAACTATAATAGGTATAGTTTGAGCACTTCGTTTAACAAAGAAAACAGTAACACAATCGATTTACAAACCGAGTATTTCATTACAAATTATGTGAGCTTGTTAATGAATAAATTTGTGAGACATCCTCCTTTGGGGTACTCTTAAGTGCCACAGAAAAGTCTTGTAGTTATAATCAGAATCTCCTGGAGGGAGAGTGTGATAGTTGTGTATAGATCTACATCGGGTCTGACAAACCCGCACCTAAGCTGCTTGCAACAGCTAGACCGGCAGGTCTGGGGTGACAAGTGTCATAACATTCCGACGCCTGAAGAAGGTCGAGTACGAGGTCTTCGAGTTTTTAGTATGGTTATAACATCTCACATGGGGAATTAACAAAACACACAGTTCACGGGGAGTTAAGGAGTTTTATTTAAATATAAAACCACACACATAAGTATGACGATTTACTTACATATACTAAGTCTTGGTCTAGTTAAGACTACAACAAACCTTTTAGAAAATATTGGATTTTTTGGTAACAAACTTGTAACAAACAAAAAGGAACATCATTCATTTTTCATTCATAAATTGCTTATGAACTCACCAGCTTTATGCTGATACTCTTTCAAAACAACTTGTATTCTCAGGTAATCAGTGATACATGTAATCACAAGATTTTTGAAGTCAAGACGCTAAGGCGTAGATTCTTTTGCTATATTTTGACATCATATGTAATTTATTTGGAAACATATACTTTTGAAATGATGTAACCTTTTAAATTATATGTATGATGGTTGTGTTTACTTTCTTCACTATGGTTATGATACTGAACATGACGTCCTCCGCCCCCAAACGTTTTCGCCGTTCCGGTTTGGGGGTGTGACAGTACTTCCTTGGTTGCTTCAAGCAATCCCTGCAATGTAATAAATACATAAACATATAAGATGATGATAAGGAAAAATCATAAATATGCTAAGAAATTACAAACCTTATGTTGATCAGAAATTACAGTAAACCCTCCTCCATCTTGCAGATTAAGATCCTTTGTGAGCAGTTCCAAAAACTATTTCCAATTAGCTTTGTTTTAAATGTCAACAACTGCCCAAGCAATTGGATAAACTTGGTTGTTTGCATCCCTCCCTATTGTTGTGAGTAATTCTCCTTTACATGTCCCTTTCAAGAAAGATCCATCTAGACCAATTACCCTACGACACCCTATTTTCCAACCTTCATTGATTGCTTTAAAACACACATACATCCTGTGAAAGTATGTTCTTTGATCTGGATTGACAATGACACCCACTTGGACAGTGCTACCAGGATTTGACCTTAGTAATTCATGACAATAATCCCACACCCTAGCATAATGGTCTGTGAGTTTACCATCTATAATGCTCATTGCTCTACACCTTGTTCTGTAAGCCTTAGACCAAGACACCCCACAATGAAATTTGTTCCTAATTATTGATTGCATCTCCTTACACTTCAAGTTAGGTTTCATTATCAACTCCTTCAAAAAGTGTCTTGCTAGCCATCTAGGACTCAGTAAATTTGAAATATTGAAATTTCTTACACATTTGTGCTCATCGACTAAGGTTTTAATCTGAAAAGACCTTTCTTGAGTCATCCAGGAAGCATGAACTCTGAATGGACAGGGTTGAGACTTCATCTTAGAACCACATTTGGCAACTAATCTCACAGTGTCACACTTCGCAAATTTAATGTGATACCCTGACTTAATAGCATAATTAGTGAGACATTGTTGCAGCTGATGTGGTGATTCATACCTTTCACCAAGAAGGGGCTTCATCTTATTCCACTCAACTGATGGATCGTGAATAGGGAAGCCTGCACCAACCGCATCTCCCAAATGAAGATCATTAGCCCCTGTTGTGTCATCGATTTCCTCTTTTGACCCAAACCCTTCTTCATCTTCATCAGCAACGTCATTCTCTTCATCAGCTTCATTATCTTCATGATCAGAACTGAAGTTAAAGAAAGCATCCTTGCATCTCACTTTACCCTGTGTCTTGAAATCATCTTCTTCCATTTCCACATCTATGTGCGCACCTCCTCATCATCTTCATATTCTTCAGAGTCGTATTCTTTAGATGATTCATGGTGAACTTCCTCTGAATCGATAGCCATTGGGTTTTACTTTCGTTTCTCTCAGTAAAACCCTAATTCCTTCGTGTTTCACTCTGTAAAAACCCTAACTTTTTCTCTGAATTGGTTTACCGGACGACGAATGCAGTGGAAATGGAAGGGTAAAACTCTCGTGTACACGTAAGGTGCCACATGCGCATAGTACCGGTGGGATACCGGCTAACCCATTAAATATCCCGTTTTGATTACGTTTACCAGTATTTAGGACTAAATTGCAAAAAAAAAAAAAAAAAAAAAAAAAAAACAAACTATAGGGGCTAAATCGATTATACGGGCAATACATAGGGACGTTATTGCAGTTTTCCCTTAAATTAATTGGCCTATAATCCGAGAGTGAGAGAGGGTCGTTTACTTTCGGGACCAATAAAATAAATAATGAATTGCATCCGGTGTTTAGGATACGAGTGGAATGAAAATTATGAAAAATACCCATGAAATCATTCTAAAAAATATCCAAAAGATTTAAGAAATTTAAATGAGAAGTCATCCGGTCCTGGGGCCCACTCATTCCCACAGCTCCAAACCGCAGCCTTCACTTCCAATAAGTTGCTTTGGTAAACGGCCGCAAGCGCCATCCAATCTTTCTGCCCCTCCACTTCCATGTTTTGAATTGCATCCAACATTCTTATTCCCAAATTGCAAATTCACCAGTATTTTTATAGCGCACACTCAACTGTTCATCTTCGTGAGCATTAGACAATGCAAAATAACACTGCCCTCCTTTGGGCACCCTCACCTAAGTGGACAGTGCAATAACACTACTCTCCTTTGGGCACCCTCACCTTCAAGTGTGGCCAATCAGCCATTTTTGGCATATACTTGGGAATACAATAACTAGACTTGGATACCACTTGCCGGAAGTAAAAAGTTCAAAGTATGTCGGTGGTCTCCAATCAGTGGGCAAAAATGCAGATTTGTTGCTGAGAAAGACATGGGAAAAACAGGAGACATAATAGCTAGCTATTGTCGATACAAAAAATATAGTCTTATAAAAGGAAAAATTTACTGCTGATCGATTTCATTACTAAATCAAAGGAAAGATGCACCTTAAATAGGTATTACATCTAATATTTAAGTGCAAAAGTACCAACTACTAATCTACAACATGCATGCTTCATAAAATAAGGAAAAAATGAAGGACGACTCATCCCCCTAAACTGACAGATCTAGCTAGACAGCAAAAGAGAAGTCATTTTTTAATAAAAAAACTGTCAAAATAAGGTTTAATCATCAAAGAGCTGCGATGAGGCCGTGTAAGCTCTGTGCAAGTTGGCCACAAGTTCTGGAAGCCAAAAAAGAAGTCGTTCAGAAAAGTGAACAAGTGATGGCCACACGGCTCACGCACAACTTGGCCGTATATAGGGGTAAGCCACAATATATTTCTAAATTTTATATACATATTTAATACTTGAATTACCAGAAATAATTTGATACTCTACAAACAAGTTATAACTTGTTGATATTTTACATATTCGATATGTTAATGCCGAATAGGCAAATTAGTATGCATGCATTAGCTACGTGTATATATATGTTGATATTTTACATATTCGATATGTTAATGCCGAATAGGCAAATTAGTATGCATGCATTAGCTACGTGTATATATATGTAAAAATATCAAAATCTTTACACGTGTATGTAATTTCCTATGCAAATGTGAACATCGAACATACTCCAACAAAACCAGGGGAAAGGGTGAGCGGCATTATTTGTCTTCTTCAAACTCCAACACATCAAAAAGAAAACATTAAAAAAAAAAAAAAAAAAAAAAAAAAAAAAAAAAAAAAAAAAAACTCACATAAACATTAACCAACGTCGGAAAACACCACAAAATACACAAAAGTAAATTAAACGCAACCCCTTTTTTATTACTTATACACTAATATATAGCATCATAACACATGGCTCAGAAGCCAAAACCACGACGACCACCTCCTAGTAATCTTCTGGAGCCAATGGCTGGTGGTGTGTATGCACCGGCGCCTCCGGCTGGATTATCCCGAACTCGTAGATCAAACCTGCAATCGCCGCCCCAATGAACGGTCCCAGCCAGTACACCCAATGGTTGTTCCACCGCCACCCAACCAACGCAGGTCCAAAAGCCCTTGCCGGATTCATCGCCGCCCCCGAGAAAGGCCCTCCCACCAGAATATTGGCTCCCAATATAAACGCTATTGCCAGTGGTGCAATCGTCCCCAACGTTCCTCTCTTATGGTCTATCGCCGTCGCAAATACGGTGTACACCAACCCGAATGTTAGAATTATCTCCATTAATAACGCATTCAAGTTTCCCACACCAGTCGCCACTGAAAACCCAATCGGTCTCTGCAAAAAATTAATTCCGATCATTTTAATTTGTCAGCTCTTGATTCTTCCGTCTCCGAAAGAAAGTTCAGTTTGTATAGTGTTTAGAGAAGCAATTGTAATCAAGAAACTTTAACTAATGGAATTAATACCATGCCGTCGGTGGCTAGACGAAGTAACAATGAGGCAACGACGGCGCCGAGGAGTTGCGCCACCCAGTAGTACAACGCTCGAACCACAGAAACCCTTCCGGCAACCAGAGTACCGAAAGTGACAGCAGGATTTAAGTGTCCACCTGACACGTTCAAACTCGAGGCCACGGCGGCGAAAAATGACAGAGCATGAGCCAGCGCCACCAGCAGCAGCCCGGCTCCTCCCAGTGCATGGTCACGACCGTACATCCTATCTGCATTCAAACTCGAATCAAAATTAACACTAAAAATTTGAACTTTCAATGATGATCGGAAATGATAGTTGTTAGTTACCGAGAGCTAGGACGGAGCCTTCGGCGGCGAAGACGAAGACGAAGGTGGAAAGGAACTCCGACAAGGTGGCGCGAGCGGAGTCTGGGTGTGTGGCTTCATCGGCTCTCCCGATGGCGTATCTACGTTGCGGCATAGCTTCGTTTGCTTTATGTAATCTAACTTTTACCGTATGTGATGACGGATATCGGTGATAGAAACCTTTGTTGATTATGAAATGTTAACCACGCAAGATTGGAAGTGAAACCTGTAAATTATATTGGGAAGGAAGAAGTGGAATGAAGATGAGGATGATGGATGGGTTTTTAAAACGAAGCGAAGGTAAACGCCATTGTATGGACACTTGGGTGAAGAACTGCAGAGAGTACGACACGTAGGTGTGTGTGTTGGCATGAATGTTGAAATCCAAGCTGAGTTTATGGGATATGTTTGTTTAAAACTAAAAAGGATAACTTACAAAGTTTGGTTTGATCTGTTGGGTCATGTGGAGGTTTTGGAGACACTTTTTTTTTTTTTTTTTTTTTTTTTTTTTTAATTGTAATTCTTGATCTTGATTAGGGTCTTGACTTTTCGGATCATATATTCATATGGGTTTTTGGCCTTTTGAGTATTATGGTTTCAACTTTCAGGAGCTTTTATACTCCAGTCTTGATTGCCTTCAGATTCGGGTTATACGGACTTTGAGACCTTGGGCCTTGGCCATACTTGATCGGGTCACATGGGCATATACATACTATTTTTTTTTTTTTTTGGAGAAAACACACAAAATTATGGTCGTATTAGTAAAAAAACGATTGGTGAATATCAAATTTAATAATATCAACTACATCTTTTTCAATCCGTTTTAATCAAGTTCAGTGGAAAACACAAATTAAAAGAGAGCATGCATTATTATCCATTGGTTGATAATTTATGTTTAATTAGTTTGATAATAATTGCTTAAAAGTATCAATGTCATTTATAAGAACAAAATTATGAGCAAAAAAATATAACAACCTACTGTATTCTTCTACCAGCAATGCAATTGATTTTTTTCATTTGAACCTTTTAAAAGAAATGCTTGGTACATAAATGTAACAAAGTTAAAAGTTGGGCATTATTTAATGAAATTATTTCAAATATGTTGCTACAACTTGTATTTTTAATCACAAATAATAGTAGCAATGCACTTACAATTCCTTACCCATAAAAACCACATACTTACATTTCTCTACACATAACAACAATATTTACCAATAAACCACATTACCCATATTTCTAACAAAATATATAAAGTACTTCATGATTATGGTTATTAAATGCATTGCTAACAACATGAATACTGGAAGTGAAAAAAATAAGTGACATACAAAATCAAAATGCATTCAACTATTGTTACACGAATCCTTGAAAGCCAAAAAAGAAAAAAGAAAAAGGGGTAATTGAAAAAAGAGCATCTTCAAGGCTTCCATAGTTTCATGGTGCAATCTTCACCATAAGTGGCTACAAGATTCCGGTGGGGATGATGGCAAATACCGATTACGTCCTTCTCATGCACCTTCATCAAGTGCTCCAGTTTCCCAGATTGATGGCTAAAACAGTACAAGTTCTTATCTTCACCAATACAATATATCCATTCCCCTTTAGGTGATATGCAAGCTGCAACAAAATCTCCACCCTCCCTTTTACCAGATGAGAAACTTTTCACCACCTTCATATTTTCAACACAAATATATTGTTATATTATATTTATAACTGAACGCATGCATCTTAATTAATAAGAACTTCTGATAAAAACAAAAAGCCACCTGTCCTTGAAGAGTCATGAGATAAATTGATGATGTCTTGTTGCAAACTATAACATGGTCTGGATTTTTTGGAGAAAGGTGAACTGAATTTACTGAAGCATCTCCTCCCTGTAAGTCAAACACAGAGCAACTGTAAAGTCAAACTTCAAAGAATCTTTGACTTAATATTTGATACAGAAAGAATGACTTAATAGAGAAAGTGTTGAGATTGTTTCTTTTTAGAAACTGAATGAACTGTCTGAACATGAGTAAATGACTAAATTACCCTCAATGGAGGTGGTGGCTTGAATGTTTGTAGACAATCTGTAGTCTTCAAATCCCAAACTTTTACTGTACAATCACTTGATGCAGTAATGATACGAAGTCCATCAGTTGTAAAAGTGGCATCATTTACATAAGAAGAATGACCACGAAATTCCTTTAACAATTTTCCATTCTTTATCCCATGGATCCTGGTATTCAATACAATACATAATAACCAAATGTGTGTTTATTATGTATATTTCAACTTAAATAAATTGATTTTTTTTTTTAATTTATAATATGTAAAACAGACCTTGCAGTTCCATCAAATGAAGTGCTCAATAACTGACTTCCATCACGCGAAAACACAACACTTGTGACACCTTGAGAATGAGCGTTTTCAAGGCGTCGCAAACATTGCCCATTCCTTATTCTCCAAACCTATAATTATATAATTAAACAGATTTTATATTTACAATTGAATAAGTGGTGTGTAAAATAAAAAATAAAAACACACAAGACAATGTATGCTTACTTTAATCTTTCCATCTTGTGATCCAGAAGCAAGCATCTCTGAATCTCTACTAAAATCGATACACAGAACAGCATCATCATGCATCATGAAGGATTCCTACAGAAGGAAAACACCATATTTTAAAAAATTAAATAAGAAATTATTATTATTATTATTATTATTATTATTATTATTATTATTATGTTAAAAAACAAAGTATCACTCACTTCTGCTTGGTACTGAAGATCTTTTTTAAGTTTCCCACTTATGTGATCCCAGACCTGGTAAATATTTCACATTAATGTAGCAAATTCCATATCATTGATAATCTCATAATCTAAACTATAATTTAACATGTAAATGACAAGATTAACCTCAATAAACCCATCAACAGAGCAAGAAACAAGGAATTGTCCATCTGGTGAGAACCTTGCACTTTCAGGGTGACTTTTCTTTCCAAACTGCAATAAAGTTAAAAACAGAAAGGTTAACAATGGAAGTGGAACTAAATTACTTACATGAAAAAAAAAATATCTAAGAAATCACCTTAATAGTATGACCAAGAGTTGTTGGGTACTTATCATCTACATCTTGTTTCATAGCAGCTGTTCCTCTAAACAAATCAAACTGTGTTCCAGGTGGCAGTAACCCTAAAAGAGCCAAGTAAAGTATTATCAATAACACAAATCTGATAAGCCCCAACTAATCCTAGAGTGCTTATATTTGATTTGCTTTATTAGAATCATTCCGTTACCTATTGAGCTTTAGGGGTAGAATGGTCTTTTTTGGTATTATGATTGTTATTGGCTGTTTTGTTATGTTAGGAGCACTATCTTTGTCCCTTGTTTGTTTGAGGGACCACTCCTTTTGGAGTATCTTTCCTTGGTCATGTCTAGTATATATACCCTTCAGGGGTTATTGTTTAGGTAGCTAAGAATTGATTTGTAAAGAACTTTGTTCTTCTTTTGGAGAGTCCATTCCTCTCGAATGAATGGGAATTCTATCTTAATTTTCTGGTATTATTGAGTGTTTTGTTGCTGTGAATCTGTTAGAATGCCTGGGGTTTACGATAGATTCAACAAGGATCTATCAAAATCTATGAGGAAAGGGCAAAGATTATAGTTTAGAATTAGACATTAGATAATGGTGTAACCTTGGTGTTGTTGCCACTTCAAAGCTTGACCAATTAGAGCCATTAAACGTGATGGTGGAACTACAGAGACTTCTCCCGCAATAGCTGAAAAGGGCAAAACGGGAAAAATTAACTTTTTTGTTCTATTTCATGGATATCTGGAAAGGGTAGTATAGTACAAACTACAAACATTGAGCAATTTGTGCACGTCTTTTTTCTTTTGTTGACTCCTGATAAGCCTGAAGAGTAATAACAAAAAGGTACAGCATAATTAGCACCATCACTAAACAAAATACTGTGCTATGTTATTGGAATTTTTATAGAATGAAGAAATTACGATTCTAACCTCATGGGGATCAAAATATGTTCTAACAAGAAGATGCTCAAGTCTTAAGTATCTTTCTGGCTGTTCTTGTTTCATGACACTCATTGCCTGAGTTTGCCTTAATATAGCACGAGCAGTATCCAACTCCCGAAGTTCAATCATTTCTAGAACAATCTACAGTGGAATTCAAATAGATAACTGACATCAATGCAAGATATAGGAATCACAAGAACAACCTTTGACTAGTCAATAAGGTGTTACATACTTGTTCATATAAATCTTCAAGTTTCTTTCTTGGAAGCTTAAGCTGTGCCACTTGAGGTAATATTGCATCCCATCTACCACTGTTGATATCTGCTACAAATGTTTCAAGGCTGTCCACTGTATTTAAAGATACTTGGCACTCGCTTTGCAGTGTTTGGAATGTTTGATGCAGAGAGTTCTCTTTGCAGAACTGAAGAACTATTTTAATCACACTGTAACCAAAAGTACAATAAAATTATATAAAAGCATATAATGTGCTTCCAGTTAACAAAAGTAGCTGGACGAATTCACAATACGTTGCTCATTCATGGACTATAAAGAACGAATTCACAAAGTATACCAAGGCAAGTATTTATATATAAGGTTTATCACTAACGAAAGGTTGTTAATTTGGTAATAGCTTTAATCATTCAGTCATACGTGATACATGAGCTGAGCTTACGATTCGGGTCATAATTTAGCGCATACAAGAGGGTTCCTCAATATTACCTCCAAATTGTACTCGCACAACGATGTATTTTCGGTCGGTTTATAAGATGGATTCGTTTCAATCATCTCGTTATCATAGCTTAAGGTATATCAATTTACATGACTCTACAAATAATGCATTACACAGTGACATAAAATTGACGAAAGAATCTACTTTTACTTACTCTCGAGCTTCGATTTCTAGGGCAGACATCGTACTGGGTCGTCCCTATCGGTGGAAGATTTAGGGTTTTGGGTAATAACAGCGAGCCTTTTGTCAGTTTGGTTTAAGCAACAACAAGGCAATGGCGTAGCAGCCTAGCAGGTTCTCACCTTTGATTTCAGAAACCCAAATAACGTAAAAGACGATATATCGGTAAAATTGTCGGATCCGGGTCCGGTGCTAATTAAGTTCATGCTGAACTTATTGTTTAACCTTTTAAATTTGGATAAATTACATAAAAGTTATGTTCTTTTTTTTTTTTTTTCTGATATTGTGTTCTTTTTCTTTCAAATATGAAAATTCCAACAAAATATTTGTAATGTTAGGCAATATAGATGTCGTACTAAGTTTTTTTTTATATGTAATAGATTGATTGTTACAGTGTAATAATAATGACTAACTAATCCTTATGTACAATCTTTTGATGCATATTGGTTTACTCAATCCAAAATTTTTTCATGTCCATGTCATTACATTTAAAAAATTGAATATGAAAACCAATTCTTTACTCATCTTATCAACTATCTATCTATCTATTTATCTTCCTCATAAACTATTGATTGATTGCAAGAAATAACTCATTAGAATCACCTTATAATGGCACACAAAGTCGTCGTCGGTTTTGAGGATGAGTTGTGGCGTTTATAACATTTAATTCATTGAGTGGGTATACCAACCCGTGAGTTGTTTCAATTGTATTCAACATGTACATGACATTTAAATAATCAAAACAGAAGTTATAAATGTGATAATTCAATTGAATTAATTCAATGACAATTCTGTCATTTTATTTTTGTGTATTTTGCTCCATACATGTTTTATTTTTTTGTTTTTTCTTTAATATAACTTTGTAGATGTTTGTGGGACAACAACACGTTTGATCTTGAACAAAATAAAATAAGTTAATTATTCATCCAAATCGAAAATTGTATGCAAGCTATAACTACAAAAATATGGTATGATCTAGGTTTGAAACATGTAAATTAAACAATAATTGAACTAAATTATTGAATTAAACGAAATGATTACAACGATTCCACCATTCTAAGACCAAAGTTTTAATGTATACCATCAACTAGGTATCTTATTAAAAAAGGACAAAGTTAAACTAACCCCATAATGACACCAGTATTGAGTACTTTTTCCTAGTGTACTCTAATGGTATGACATAATCTCATATACCACTTAAAGATGTTGAAATCTACCCGAATGGAGCAAGAAAACATAAAAAATACTCTATTGGTCTATTCGGTACAATTATCTAGTGAGAAGGTGTTACTAACAAGGTCTTGGGTTCAATCCCAGACATATCATTGTTCAAAAAAAAAATCTAGCTACTTCAAAGAGCAAATTGAGAGTTATGACATTAACCCTAAGAAAAAGTATACATGTTTTGAATTGAAAAATCAATGATTCAAAACTCTTTAACAATGTATTCAATCTCCAACAACGTACACGGAACACAAATGCGATAAATGTACATATAAAAACACGAATGAATTAGCTCCCTCCTGGACCTCGCATCTTCTCAACAATATGTCTTCCTTTCTCTTCAATATTCCGTCTCTTTTCTTCAAGTTTCTCCCCCATTTTTTTCCTCAACCCCAACATCTTGGCCTTGGTTCCCATTCTTCTTAACCTCGCATCCTCCCCTTCCGCCATGTCATTACTTTCTTCACTCGTCACCACCACTGGCTGAGGTGGCAATGGGTGGAGTTGCCAGCTTGGCAATTTAACTTCTCTCTTCTCATCAACCGACCGGAGTGACACAGTAAGATCCGCCTCTTGTCCATGTTCCTCACTTTCCAACAATGGAGTTTTCTCATCTACAGAAACAGGATCTTCATTTGCTCCCAAGTTTTGCTCATCAGTTTCAGATACGCTTTCTAAGCTACGATTGCTGGTGTTATGGACATCTTGTGGTTCTTGTGGATAAGGTTCTTGGGAAGGTTGGCAGGGATGAGGTTCGTGTACAATAGTGGGTTCGGTAGTGGTGGTGGTGGTGGTAGTTGTGGTGGGTGGTGGTGGTGTTGGTGTTGGTGGTGGTGGTGGTAGTGGTGGTGGAGTTGGTGGTAGATTCAGAATTGGCAAATATAAAAGGGGCGGCTTTTTGTGGGATCCAGTCGTTCTTTTCGGCTAACATAAAGGGAATGGTTACACTTTCAGAGTTAGGGAGTACCATGGTTTCACGAATAGCTGTCTGTGAAAGTAAACCATGCATATATCAGAAGCTTCACAAAATAAAGATTTTCTATCCACTTGATGCTTTTTTCAGAAAACCCATATCAAAAACTTTTAAAAATCACATTTTTGGAAAACCCATATCAAAAACTTTTAAAAAAAAAAAAAAGATCACATTTTTCCCTAAAACCCATACCAAAAACTTTTAAAAGATCACATTTTTGGAAAACCCGTATCAAAAACTTATAAAAAAAAAATCACATTTTGGAAAACCCATATCAAAAACTTAAACAAAGATAACATTTTTGGGAAACCCATACCAAAAACTTAAAAAAAAAAAAGATCACATTTTTGGAAAAACCCATATCAAAAACCTTAAAAATATCACATATTGAACCAAACCCAGATCAAGAATCAAGCTTTTGTGAACCACAATTGAAAAAGATAAAGAGATGGAAAGCAGGATTTCATCATTGATGGCAATGGGCAATGGGATTGGGTAAATTTAATTAAGTTATTAAAATGGTGCAAGAATACCCCCTAAATTTAATTAGTGTATTATACATTCTTTTTTTCAAAAATAAACAGAATTTTTACAACATTAGAACAGCTAAGGAATAGTGTACAAAAATTAGTTTAGAGGAGCTGATTGCTATTTTAGTAACATAAGCCCTTTTCTGAAATTTGGAAAGTGTTTTGACCTCAAAAGTAAAAGATCACCATTTTTGGAAGCAATTCAAGACATGTAACCAAAGATGCACGCAATTCAAGACAAAAACAAAAACAAAAGTTGCATAAGAGCATTTTAATCTAACCTTAAATTTACCGATTATGAACAATGCAATATGTCCACTTGTAATCTTGTGATCCCCAACAGAAGACTCCAAACTAAATTCTATATCAGGCATAGATGTAAAACCAAACCACAATTGATCTGAAGGAGGAGGTTTTATATGCACCCTTAAAGTTCCTCTAAGAGTTGTTACCCGTATTGCCATTGAAAGAGGCACCTTCACAAATCACAAGATTAATTTTTATAAACATTTTTACTTCATATCTATAATCAATAAACATTTAAATCCAAAATTATTGTTATAAAAACCTGAGACACTTGTTTCGCGACAGAATTTAACACGGATTTCCACTTGGATACAGCAGAACTTGAAGATGCTTGTTCATCTCCCTTAAAACTTTTTACCTCTTCTGTAACAAGATAAATTAGTATATTTTTCTAATTGATCAACTTACAAAATAAAAACAATGATTACTCAACTTACCCAATTTGCGTATTTCATCACCCTTGTGTTCATTAAGCTTCAACTGTTTTTCATAGTACCCAACACCTTCTAGAAGATCAGAGGTGACATCATTAACAGATTTGGAATCTGAATTCATAGTTTCTGGATTTTCAAGCTCTTGTACTTCAAGCCTTGTTTCAATATCCAACACTGCTCCACCATAATATTCAATATCAATTTCCATGGCAACCACTTCCTTCAGATCTGATGGTAGGACCCGCATTCCATGAATATATGGCGGGATATTTCCAGGATTTACCCCTGTGCAAACTATCTCCCCTATGTAACTTGGGGTCCTTATAGTAGAGAGTGTCCTCTATACACAAAATAATTTATAAATTAGTTATAAACTATGTGCTAAATCTTTTATTTCAAGAAAAATGTTATACACCTGAATTCGTGCTTGTATAGAGTTCTTCAAATCCGCATTGCTTTTGGCATCAAAAAATAACCGTGATATTAACAAATTGCAACATAATGTTCCATCATCACTAGCCATTTTGTTAATAGAATGAGTAGAATCTGTATCAGATCTTGGTGTTAATAATGCTTGAACAATTTCCTCTTCAGTAGAATGATTCTGTTTCTTGTGTTTTGAAGAGCTACCAACTGAACTCGAGTCTTGCACTGGATTAGATTTTTCTTTTTTATCTTCTCTACCAGCTTTAGAAGTCTTTTTGGCAAGTTTCTTTAAAAAGTGGCGAACTTTTGACGATGAAGTGTCTATCTTGATTGTTTTATCACCTGTTTCCGGATTGAAACCTATGGAGGGTTTTAGAAATGAAGGGTATTCAACATTTAAGGATCCTAGGTAACTGTGAAAGTCTGAAAGCGATTTGTGAAACCATTTGAGTTTCTCTTTGTCATCACATGAAGCAAGTCGTAGGGCTTTACACCATGATTCCTTTTCAGAAGATGTCTCAAAATATAAGTAGAATAACTTGCTTCCATGGTATAATACTGATGACTTGTTTTCCACTCTGACAGGATATTTTTTGGCCCTGTGGGATAAACACAACACCAAGATTTAGCAATAGTACATGAATTCGTGTGTAATTTGTATTTCAAACAAGTAGAAATCCATGTCACTCTAAGGGAAATCATCTGAGGTACCTAAAAGGCTAAAACAAACAACCTACCAAAGAAGCAAGACGAAGGGCTTTAAAAAGTTATGCAGCTGCAATATAAATGTATGTCTAACAGTCTCTTTAAGGATGTAACAATCACAATACAGAGTTTCTAGGCAAGAGAGCATCACCACTTTCTGGTGGGTAAATTTTGTAGCAGAAACAGCTTCTACAGTGCAGCCTGAAAGAGGAATCTTCGTGAGGGTGCCATCTGGTTCGATAAGGATGAGTGATAGATCCTTGATGCTTGCATGCTTCCGCACAGGTGAAACCTCCACAATCTCATTTTTACGTTTTTGTGAACGTGATCCTTTATCAAATGATGGTAAAGTCTTTGGGATCTTTTCCTTTTCTAAAATCCAAACCCAACCCTGAAAACGCAAGCAGTTTGTAAAGAATTTTACATAAATGAAGTAGTTCTATTCATAACCAAATTCTTCAAATCCATCATATATTAGAAGACTAGATTCTATAAACAAGTAAGAACAATACAACTATAACAACCAATTGCAAATAGCGAAATGAAAACGGGAGGAAAACTGACCTGTTTATCAGGAAATGAAAACGGGGGTTCCTCTCTTTCATGCGATCTGGATTTGGCGACCTTAACAGCATCTTCCTTTGTTTTTCTACCCAATTTTTGTATAAAGAACAAAACTCCCACAACTTCAACACCGATTACAGCTAATGCCCCAACAACGAACCCCACAAACAATGAAAGGCCACCATAACCGTGTTTTAAGTACTGATCATATAGACTACAGACAAAACCCAGTTTCAATAATGCACAAAAACACACATCGAACATCAAATCGGCGGAATCTTCCTCATTATCAATCAAAACTACGCAACAAGGTGTCAAAACTTACGCTCCAAGGGACTGACGAATCAAAAATCGATGCAAAGGAGTTGTATTAGAAGTGGGGTTTCCTGCTTGAACTTGAAATTCGAGAGAGGCAAGGTAAGAGTGGAGGACGGCAAAGACGTGGAATTAGGAGGACGTCGGACGCGGTTGCTTTTTAATTAGGGAATCAAAGATGATTTGATGATGGAGTGCACCGGTGAGCATATTTGGATTTCGTCTATTTTCTACCCCAATTCCAAGTTAGAAGTAGTATACCAGAATGGAGCAGCATAAGCATATGGCGTGGTGAATGCTGATCGTCGCAATCAACATAACGAAAATTGGAAAATGACTTTCCCATTCAACAATTTTGAACCTAGCCATTTTGGGATAAAAATAATTTCATTTAAAATGATAAAACAAAATAACATGTCGATGAAAGTGTATTTATTGCTTTCATTTGAGTGGTTATTTGGTATATGCTATTATTAACTTAAAAATATTATTTTGTATATGCTTTTATTAACTTTCACATACTGTATTTGTATATTTTAAATGTGAATATTATATTTTGTTTTTTTTAACTTTAAAAATATCATATTTATCAAAAAAAAAGTTAGTATTTTTATAATCATTTTAATTATACAAAAAGAAGTTGATGGTCATATTTCTCTTACATAACAAATCTTGTTTACATAAAATTGATTGATCATGTTGTCCTAACCATCATTAACCCTTCTTAAGAGCAAGTTTGGTGTAACTAGATGATATAACGCATACATTCAATATGCATGCATGCACACACGATCATGCATTCTAAATACACACATATGCAGATGACACATGCATTTAGTATTCACACATAAACAAACAATATGTTAGAAATAATTAATGATAGCAAGTTGGCTATTTTTCTTATCACACATTGGTGGGAATAGAGCCTCAAGTGGGTTTTTAAGGCTTCCTTTGCTTTAAGTCTTCGCATGCTCTAATAGAGGCGAAGGGATGTGTCAAGCCTGTACATGCACCTAATTGGGTCGTGGTCGTGGATGCAGAGTTTGTAAGATGGCAAAATTTAGGCTCATCGCGTACTTTGCACTTCACACGCCAAAACTGTTGGGAGCTAAGTAGTAGTTTTGCATTAACTCATGAGGTTTTACATTGAATCTTACAACCTAGAGCGATGTAAAAAACATTTAAGGACAAAATTCATTTTGTGCAGCATTCAACAGTCAAGATCAACAATCAACATGTTGGTTTTAGATATGTCTTTTTTTTTATTTTACTAACAACGGGACAACTTTCTTTTATCTTTCATCCAATCAGATAGATCTGGTCACGAAGAATCAAATTGATTTCTAGACGAAATATGGTGATTAAACAATAATAATTGAGTTTTATTATTTGCGACTAATCGACATATAACTTTCAATATTATTCGTCGGTTTGATTTTTTGTCTATTAATGAATTTGTAACGACCCAAAAACCAGTATAAAATTTTTCATTTTAAAACAAGAGTTACAATCATCACATTGTTCCAAAACCATCACATAACAATAACGTCAAATCATCAGAGTACAATATCAAAAGTGTGGAAGTACCTAAAACCACAAATATAAATTGTAAGCAAAAGCTTAGTGGGTTTCCCCAAAGTACCACATACCAAACATAAATAAGTTAGTGCTATGGGCCAAACCATAGTCTTACAAGTAATCTCCTTCCGATGGCCAAATCCCGGTCTTCCATACAGTTTCCAGGGGCCAGATCCTGGTCTTTCATACAGATGTTATGGGTCATATCCCGGTGTTTCATACAGTTGTCAGGGGCCAATTCCTAGTCTTTCATGCACATATTACAAATATAGCTAACACCCTATATCATAAATAATGGGTCTGCCTTGATGCCTTCGACCCATTGATACAGTGAGAAAACTCACATCGGTCCGCTGATAAATAACTAAATGCTCGGCTGCCGAACCGGAAAATCCCACAATGAACACAAACAAATCACCCTAATCAGAAATAGGTTATAAACCATAACCATGGGCCTAAATCCCAAATTCATACCTCCTAAGATAAAAGCCCATTTTACCCTTCCCGTAATGGACCTAACCAAACTTGACCCAATACACAATAATGGACCCCAAGGCCCAAAAAGTCCCAACTCAAGCAACTTAAGGCCCACTAACGAAATCCTAAGGTCCACATATGCATCAAACAGTCCAAATCCCAAAACCTAACTAAGGCCCAAAAGTCCAAAGTCCAACCGAAGACCAAAAGCCCAAGGAAAAGCCTCTACTCAGCGTACGCATTGTACGCTTGGCGTACTCGACCACCCACCAGTACGCGCAACATACCCCTTGGTACGCTCGGCGTACTAGGCTGCTTGCCACCTTAAGCCAATAACTGCTTAATGCGTTCATCCATTAAGTCCAACTTTCAGATTTCGTCCATTTTAGAGTTCTAATACATAAAGTTGGCAACTTTAACCCTTAGCATGTCTTAACGGAACCCAACATCCATTTTTATCCATAAAAGTTCATATTAAGGAATCAAATTCATGCATGGACTCATATCAACCATCAAGATGACATTTTTATGGCATCTATAAACAACAAAGGGACTGAGATCTAACACCTTCTAACTCCGGAGTTACCCAAACTCACAAAGAGAACCCTGAAACAAATAAATCTCATAAACAAGCCCTAAACCCTAACTATCAAATGAATCATCAAGGTAAGAACTTTATACCTTTTATAGCTCCCAAAGTTGATGAAGACTCTGGATCTAGAAGCTCAACTTCAACAAATGCTTGGTCTCCAAGTTCCTTCTTCTTGAATACACACTAAAAAAATGCCACAAAGTCACTTCAAAGCTCAAGAACGCTCAAAAGGATGAACTAGGGTTAAATGGGATGTAATGAACAGTGGAGGCTGATGAGGGTAAGTGTCCAAAGGCCATAATGATGTTTAAATAGGGCCCATGTGTAACACCCATAAAATTCAAGCCAATTTTAAAACTTTTTAAAACATTTAAACCATTAAGTTATCACAATTTGCTTTCAAAATAGTTTAAACATCATAGTATTCTTAGAATCAAATCATGAAAAATATAAGGAGGTGCACGATCACGCCTTCACCTTCCCGCGATCATCAGAAGTACCTGAAACATAATCAACAACTGTAAGTCCGAAGCTTAGTGAGTTCCCCCAAAATACCAACGTCAAACAATCATAATCATATCATATAAACAAATACAACATGCATATGAGCCATCAGCCTGACTGGACCGCCTCGCAGGGCCATCAGTCTATCTGGACCTGGACGGGAGCCGGCTCTCCGAGCAATCGACAACGTTCTGGACCGCCTCTCAGGGCCTTCACCTATCCGGACCGCTCGCCGGGTCTTCGGCCTGACTAGTATGCCCCAACCGGGTCTGCTCTTCCCGGTCCGCCCTGGGTATCTTGCCTACGCACAAAGTAGGACCTGGCCTCAAAACCAATCCCCCAAACTAACAAGCATGTGCACATACATATCATACGCTAGCTAGCAAGTACATATAGTCATACAGATCTAACAAATCACTAATCATAGCAACCATCCTATAACCAGGATACCGATCTAACCGATCATTAACATAGCAACCATCCTATAACCAGGATACTGATCTAACGGATCACTACATAAGCACCATCCTACAAACCAGGATACTGATCTAACGGATCACTAACATAGCAACCATCCTATAACCAGGATACTGATCTAACCGATCACTAACATAACAATGATACTACACCCAGGATACTGATCTAATGGATCACTAACATAGCAACCGTCCTATAACCAGGATACAAATCATAAAGCATATCATGCATTAAACCCAGATACAAATCCGAAAGGCCGCATTGGTTCCTTAGACCCGTTGATATAGTGAGAAGAACTCACCCACAAGTAGCTCGAAGTGATAAGGTCAAAACTCCAACCAAATGCAAGCTCCAGTCCAACACCTAACATCCACCAATGGTCACGTCCCATAAATTAACCAAATACCAAAAGATCCCTGAAGTCAAACTGGTCAACTGTAACGCCCGGGTTTCGGGGCTAAGCATTTTTAGACGATGTAATAGTCTAGGTCAACTATTATAACTCTTTTGATGTAATAAAGATGAAACATTCGAGTATTTTGTTAATTATGTGAATTTATATGCTTATTTTTTAATTATAAATGTATAATTAATAAATGATAAAAATAAGCGTCAAAATTAAAGTGTGAGATAAGCCCGATATCTTTACATAAAGTTGTAGTAGTCGAAACAAGGATTCCGGGGATATAAAGAACGCCGAAATCCGAGTTATAACAAAGAAGTTGTGACCCGTCGAAGTTTCGTGATGAAACCGGCACGACACCAGGAAGCGTAAATAGTGAATTTACGATAAAGCGATTTTTAGCCTTATCGATCTAAACGAAAGTCGTAGAAAACGTTAAACCGAGAGCGTCCATAAAAAGAACGCCGAAATCTGACTTCGTATGAGGAAGTTATGATTTTTCGAAGTTTCGGCATAGCAGTGTACAGCCCGAAGTTCGAATATTATATCGAGCGGTTTTTAGCCAACACAACCTAAACGAGAATCAAAGATCTCGTTAATAGTAGCATAACGATAAAAAGATAGACGAAATCGGAAGTCGGATGAAGAAGCTATGAATTTTTAACGGACCAATCATGTACCGGCCTGTTAAAAATATAACTTTTAAAATAAAGTCAAAATTAGCCAACGGAGTCTAAACGAAAGTTGTAGAGTACGTTCCCGCCTATGCGTGGATATAAAGAACGTCGAAAACGGAGCTCGTATGTGAAAGTTACGAATTTTTAAAGTCGAGAATGCAATTTGCGAAACTGTGATGACGTGGCAAGATCCTAACCGTTGCTTGCTCCCCACGGTCTCGCTTCGGATGAAGGACACGTCGCCCGTTCGCTACCCCCCGCGTCGAAATTGGGTGCGCCCACGTACTTGGATCTTGTGCGGTCCGAGAGTGGCCACGTAGCCCCACCGAAGCTCGCCACCTGTACCCTATCCGAAGTTACGCCCCGCGTAACTTGCTGAACGCGCAGCGTAGGTCCGAGGTTCAGCAGCCATAATAGCTGGCGAGATTTCCTTCCCGAAATTCACCAATTCACTTCTCTTCTCTCTAAATACTTTTCTCCTCTACCTATTTTAACCCCCTAAACCCTAGGAAAAATCCCTAGCACCCAAGGAGGCCCCGAGGCCCCGAAGCTCCCGGAGTCCCGAAAAAGGTCTTTCGGTTCGGAAACCTGCTCCGAGCAAAGCCGGTTTTCTTTAAAATTCACTTGTAAGTGAGCTA